GGTACAGGTAAAAGTGAACCTACGGTGACAGGTGCAAGCAGGGGCGGACTGACAACTCATGGGCCCCCAGGCAATAGGGGATCATGGGGCTCCTGTGTCCTTGCCCAAACTCAAAAAAGCCAATGAAAAAAGGTACCAGGGGCATCTCATGGGGCCCCCTACTGACCCCGGGCCCTTGGGCAGTGCCCGAGTTTCCAAATGGTCAGTCTGCCCCTGGGTGCAAGTAAAATTTTATACACAAGCCTACTGCAACATAATAACAGCATGAAATACAATAATTACAGTAGAGATAAAATACACACATGCCTATACCATCCAGGCCTGGATCTAAGGGCTGCTAGGGTAGGCTTTGCCCCTCAGATTGTAGTTGTGCACCACCTCTACCAACCCTCCCCCTCAGGTCTCTAAGTGTGCATCCACTGATCCATGAGGCACTCTGATGGGTACTGTTGATGTAAGGGGAACTCTGATGGAGACAGTTGATATATGGAACACTCTGTTAGGGATAATTGATTTATTGGGGACCCTGATGGGGACAATTTATGTAAAGGTGTACTTTGATGGGCACAATTGAAGTAAGTGGGACTCTGATGGGGACATCTGATATAAGGAGGCATTCTGATGGGGAGAACTGATGCAAGAAGGACTTAAATGTAGACAGCTGATGTAAGGAGGTACTCTGATATGAACACCTGATGTAAAGAGAGACTCTGATGGCGACACCAATGTAAGGGGGAATCTAATATGGACACTTGACATAGGGAGGCACAGGTTTTGTTTAAATCATTCTAATCTATTAACAGCCTAATGCTTACTAGTGTTCCTTGTTCATTCCTGCAACAGCTCTGCACTACCTGTCAGACATTATTTCCAGGTTGTGACTTATGGTACAGAAGTTAACAAGGAATACCAGTTTCCTGCATTTCACACTGTTGACATTATGCCCCCTGACTTTTTATACTGCACCCCCAGATCAGATAGGCTAGATCTGACCCTTATATCCTCATAATAACATCTTGAGATACGCTACTTGGCACACTGCTTGCTAGGCAGGGTACTTCTGTTAGAAAACCAGGCCTCACATACACTTGCCATATTTATAATATGCTGAATATTACATCTGCTGGGCTTCAGCATCTTTACACCTAAACTCTGGGCGGATATAAAAGACACAAGTTAGTGCAGCTCTGTAATCATTAATACATTATAAAATCTAATCTTAAAAGCAAGCAGTGTAGGTACCAGAATTAGACCTGGTATCAATCTCTTGCAATCCCTGTACAGCAGAGCTCAGACTAGGGGAGGGAGAAGCAACACAAGGAACTAATTAGTGTAAGGAACATGCTAAGATAAGGAGAGAACAGACTGATAGAAAAATTAGTTCAGTTCGCTGCTTCTTCTGTCACTGTCACAAGGTGGGGGTGAGGAGGAGACCTGTAATTGTTACTTAACTGCAGCAGTTTAAAATCAGGTATCCTGCCTTGCCAGACAAGGCTGTGCTCTGTGGCAGAGCTGTGTAAATATCTAGAGTGGTTGGGCAGAAATACAAATCCTTTAGCAGATAAAAAGGCTCCCTTATATGTAATTCATCTTTGCATTTACCTGTTTGCCAGTAGTACAATTTTAAAGTAAAACTATAGGCAACATTTTTTTTTCATTTTGAATAGAGTAAGAGAGGCTGGGGCTTAGCTACAGGGGTTGCAGGGGTCACAATTGCGACCCAACCCCATGGTGCAGGGGGCCCGTGTGGCCCCCTGTAAGCCTGGATTGGAGGAGCAGCAGGAGCGACTGCATATAGAGGAACTGATCTGATCTCCTCATGCTCCTCCTGAAGCTGCAGAATGCCTATGGGCAAGGAAAAGCAGGCATTCAGTGACTGCAGGAGAAACATGAAGAGATGGATTCTTCTATATGTAGCTGCCCCGCCACTCCTCCTATCTAGCTTCTTTCAGCTGCACCTGAGCTGAGAGAGTTAGACAGGAGATTGGAGGTCACTCCTCCTCCTCCTGTCCCTCCCCCTGCTCCTGTGTTTGCCCCGCCCACACTACATGGGCAGGAAGTTTGAAACCCAGGCAGAATAGGTAAGGAGCAATCTGCCGATTCACTATGAGTGAAGTCTCCCCACTCCCTTTTCTCTCCTACCTCCCAGTGAGTACTGTATTGTAAGAGGTATTCCTTCCTTCTTTCCTTCATTGTTTCCTTACTTTTCTTTTCTTTCCTTTTTTTTCTTTCCTTCCTTCCTTCCTTCCTTCCTTCCTTCCTTCCTTTCTTCCTGCAAATTAAGAGAATTCCTTGGAGACCCCTAGGTCACCCAGACTAGTGTTCCCTTTGGAAGATTTCCCATCTATTACTTTCCTGGGGACAACCCAAAATGTAGGATTTATTTTTAACTTTCACTTTCAATGATAATATTAGACAAGACAAATATAGAGGGTGAATCTCCTTAACAGGGACACAGACAGCAATAAAAACTACAAGTGTTCTAATCCCTCTCCACCCTCTCCATTGCCGTTAGTTATACTTTAACCAACTTTGCTTTGTAGATGGTGAATCTGTTAATGAATAAGTGCAGTGAAAATTGAGGAGGCATGGCAGTGAATGACATCCAACCTCATTTTCAGAATTTGCCCCTAAGTTTGTAATAAAACAGAGAAATAGAGTGGAAGAAAATAGGTATTACCCATTTAACTGTTGAACATGCTTGGAAAAAACATTTTCAAAGAGTTGTCAAAGTATAATTGGAGGGTCCCGTCCTATAGGTTTGCATCCTGAGGGATCCCTGTTGCATACATCTTAATGTTGTTGACACCCAAAACAATTTCTCTCCTTCTCAGCTCACCTTTTCTGTCTCCTTACGAATGAATAAATTACTAACTGACATTTCTGTCTGGGTGTCACACCACTTCCTCAGACTCAATCTTTCCAAAACTGAGCTCATAGTATTTCCTTCTCCTGTGCCCCTTCCCAAGACTTTGTCATGTCAGAATACTAGGTGTCCTCCTGAACTCTGACCTCTCCTTCTAGCCCCACATCCAAACTCTATCCAAATCTTTCTGCTTCCATAACATCTCCAATACATGACCTTTGCTTCCATGTTATCTCCCACCTCGATTATTGCAATTGCAGCCTTGTTGACCTACCTTTACACAGGTTATTCCCTATTCAATCTATTATGAGCATTGCTGCCAGACTTAATCATCCAACTGCTCTTTGCCACTCCCTTCACTGGCTTCCAATACCTAGTGCATAAAATTCAAAATATTAACAACAATGCTAATCAGCACTCTGCCCTGAGCTACATCACTAACTTTATCTCAAAATATCAACCAAAACCATCCCTTCAGCTGCTTTCAAGAACTCCTGTTCTGTAGCTCCTTTATCACCTCCTTCCAGGACTTCTGCGGAACCTCTCCTATCCTCTGGTACTCCCTACCCCAATCTGTTCAGCTAACTCTTACTTTGTCCCCCTTTAGGCAGTCCCTGAAAACACATCTCTATAGGAAAGCCTATACGGCTTCTATTTAAATACTAAACTTTTACTTTTTCCATCAACTCATCCCTCACGCTTACTACCTTATGTATCATTTGCTCTCCTTCTTGATTTTAAGCTCTTATGAGCAGGGTCATCCTAACCATTTCGTCATGAATTATATTGTAAAAATATTCTCTCTCTTTATATACAGAGCACTGCACAAACAGTTGGCACTACATAAATCCTGTATTGTAAGATAAAGAACAATCGTTGAAATATACAATGATTTCTAAATATGAAAACTACTAGTATTTGATTTTTGCATTTTTGAGCTTTGGTTCACACTGATGCGGTACGGAATTCGCAGTGTTTTCTGTGCGAATTCCGCTCCACATCAGAATTGCACCCCGTTTATGTGAACCGCTGCTGGTGTGTATGTTAAGTTAACAACACCCAGAAAGTGGTCCGACACGATGCGATATGCAGAATCGGATCGCATAGGTGTGAATACCCATGTGATCCGATTCTAGTGCGGATCTAAAAAAAGGGTCCTACGCATTTTTGGTGCGGATGCGGTGCAATTAGAGCCATACAAAATGTATGGCTCAAATCGCATATGATTTTCACAGGAATGTGGTGAAGTTCCTGTACGAATCACATGCAATATACCTCACCGCATATATGTGAACCCAGGCTAGAGAAGAATATTATTTTTTTCTGCAGTATGTTGCCAAAATTATTGTTGCCATTGACACATTTATGACCTGGTAGCTGCCAGTAACTGTAACAGAGAACTGAAGCCAAACAGAAGTCTTTCACTGAAAATGAAAAAGTTAAAGTGATTGTAAACCTCAGACATGAAATATGAACAAAGCACTAAGTGTCATTTCTGTCCACTGCCTTGTTCCTTTGCTATCAGCATAAGTCACTTCTAATGAGTTTTCCTGACACCAAGAGAAAAATGGTGGCAAGGGAGGGCACAGCCCGTGATTGATAGCTTTAACTCTATTCCTTTGCACTGTGTAAAGGAGGGGGAGTCATTTTCCTCCAATCAGCTCTCAGAGCTCTCCTCTATATATATAACTTCAGCTTTCCACCCCCTGCTTTTCAGAGCTGAGAGATCCTGTGTAAATTCTGCACATTCAATGGATATAGATAAACAGGCAAAACGTATGCAGAAGGATTTGTTTCATCTCTGTATATCACCTGAGGCCAGTCACTTTACTGGGTATATGTACATTATATGTAATATAAATTAAAGAAGAAACAGTAGTGCAAGGAAGAGGAGAATTACCTGTGCCTGTTCATTCTGTGTTTGTCTCTCCTAGACTCATGGCATTACAACAAATTACCTTGATGTATTTGAAATAATATTCTTCTACTGGGCTCCTTTGCTTGTCAGACGAAGACTTGATGAGGTTAATGACTCGTGGTTATTTTTCCTTGTAGGTGGCTTGGTGTTACATCTTTTGGTGTTCCAGAGAAGCTGGGCTGTTCCAACCTTCCTCTAAGTGCCCGACAGAAAGACATGTGTAAGAAGAAGCCATACTTGTTATCATCCATCCGGGAGGGAGCCAGACTAGGAATTCAAGAGTGTAGGAACCAATTCAAACATGAAAGATGGAACTGCTCTATTTCACCAGCTCTATATACTTCTAGTTCTTCCTTGTCCCTTTCTTTTCTGTCATCATCATTAGCATCAGCCCATTCAATCTTTGGCTATGAGTTAACAAGTGGTAAGTTTCTTGTTTGTGCCTTATACATAGATGGTATGTTTTAGGTAATCACTTAATCAATCACATTGTAGAGTTTAAATCCATCTTCAAGATGACAACTGTAATTTTACCATAAACAGTTTTTCCAATAAATATGGCAGTTTAAACTAAACATTTTCCTTCCATTTTGCATGCCTTTTCAGGTTTATTACATGTTGCAATGGAGAACTGAACTAAAAATTGTTACATTTCTCCTAATAATTTCACCATCCTGCATATCTACACGGCTCAGTTACAGATTAGAGTTTTCATATGGTTGACATTATCTAACTCAAAATCACAACAGTGTAAAAATCAGAATTATATTTAAATTGCTACTAGCGATTTCAACTGAAAAATGTGTTCTAAAAGCAATTGTAAGAGAAGTGGAATATGCCATAAGCACTCTAACCGAGTCTACCTTCTATCTAACCCATTATCTTAATAAGATTTCTCTCTTGTTTCGCCAAGTTATCTTTGTCTGGTGAGAGCAAAGACATCCGAGATCCAGCCACTGGCATGGGCCATTGCACACAGAGATGGCATAAATGGCAGATCCAATTAGCAAAGTAGGCTCTAAATATAAATCCTGTAAGGGCTATATGGAAATATGGTCACTTGTAGGATTCTTTTGCCACTGTTTTCATATCAGCATCAAACCTTCTTAATTATACATCTGATTTTAATGACTATGCCTTTTGCAGATGTGAATTCCTGTGTTGTAAAAGCTGCTTGATTAGCCACTGGACTGCTTTTACAGACAGCAGAGGGGGCATCCTCCTCTTCCACTGCCCATCAGCGCCTCTCCCAGCTCTGTTAAAGTGCAACACCCACCCCCGTGCTCATGTGCAGAAAAGAACACATATGTAGGTTACACCCACATATGTAAACAGTGTTCGCACCACACATGTGAGGTATTACCCAGAACATTATAGCAAGAGCAATAATTCTAGCACAAGACCTCCTCCGTAACTCTAAACTGGTAACCTGTAAAAATTCTTAAAGAGTCGCCTATGGAGATTTCTAAGTACAGTATTTGGGTGCCATTCCATGAACGTGCAAAATTTTAAATCTTGATATGTTAGGTATCTATTTACTCGACCTAACATCATCTTTTAGAGTTTACCAAAAATTGAGTTATATATTGTGTTTTTTTGCTTTAAAATTCGTTAAAGTGTATTTTTTCCCAAAAAATTGTATTTGAAAAATCGCTGAGTAGATACAGTTGACCAGGTCTTGTTCCAATCCTCTAAATCTATAAAAGCTTCTATGTCTCGCTCCCATTTAAAGATGTATGGGTGGGAGCAAGATGAACCCCCCCACAGTTAAGGAGGAGTAGATAGAGGAGATGGGGCTGTTTCATATATATATACACTGGATATAAAAAAGTCTACACACCCCTGTTAAAATGTCAGGTTTATATGATGTAAAAAAATTAGACAAAGATAAATCATTTCAGAACTTGTTCCACCTTTAATGTGACTTATGAACTGTACAACTCGGTTGAAAAACAAACTGCAATCTTTTAGGGGGTGGGAGAGTACACATAAAAATCTAAATAACTTGGTTGCATAAGTGTGCACACCCTCTTCTAACTGGGGATGTAGCTGTGTTCAGGATTAAGCAATCACATTCAAAATCATGTTAAATATGAGTCAGTACACACTTATCATTTGAAGCACCTCTGATTAACCCCAAATAAAGTTTAGCTGTTCTAGTCTGTCTTTCCTGACATTTTCTTAGTAGCATTCTACAGCAAAAGTCATGGTCCGCAGAGAGCTTCCAAAGCATCAGAGGGATCTCACTGTTAAAAGGTATCAGTCAGAAGAAGGGTATAAAACAATTTCCAAGGCATTAGATATAACATGGGACACAGTGAAGACAGTCATCATCAAGTGGAGAAAATATGGTGCAACAGTGACATTACCAAGAATTGAACATCCCTCCAAGATTGATGAAAAGATGAGAAGAAAACTGGTCTGGGAGGCTGCCAAGAGGCCTACAGCAACATTAAAGGAGCTGCAGGAATATCTGGCATGTACTAGCTGTGTGGTACATATGACAACAATCTGCCGTATTCTTCATTTGTCTGGGCTACGGGGTAGAGTGGCAAGACGCAAGCCTTTTCTTATGAAGAAAAACACCCAAGCCCAGCTAAATTTTGCAAAAACACATCTGAAGTCTCCCAAAAGCATGTGGGAAAATTTGTTATGGTCTGATGAAACCAAGGTTGAACTTTTTGGCCATAATTCTAAAAGATATGGTTGGCGCAAAAACAACACTGCACATCACCAAAAGAACACAATACCCATAGTGAAGCATGGTGGTGGTGCTTTGGGGCTGTTTTTCTTCAGCTGGAACTGGGGCCTTAGTCAAGGTACAGGGAATTATGAACAGTTCCAAATACCAGTCAATATTGGCACAAAACCTTTAGGCTTCAACTAGAAAGCTGAACATGAAGAGGAACTTCATCTTTCAGCATGACAATGACCCAAAGCATACATCCAAATCAACAAAGGAATGGCTTCACCAGAAGAAGATTTAAGTTTTGGAATGGGCCAGCCAGAGTCCAGACCTGAATCCGATCGAAAATCTGTGGGGTGATCTGAAGAGGGCTGTGCACAGGAGATGCCCTCGCAATCTGACAGATTAGGAGCGTTTTTGCAAGAAGAGTGGGCAAATATTGCCAAGTCAAGATGTGCCATGCTGATAGGCTCATACTCAAAAATACTGAGTGGTGTAATAAAATCAAAAGGTGCTTCAACAAAGTTCTAGTTTAAGGGTGTGCACACTTATGCAACCATATTATTTTAGTTTTTTATGTTTACTTCCCTCCACCTAAAAGATTTCAGTTTGCTGTTCAACTGAGTTGTACAGTTTATAGGTCACATTAAAGATGGAAAAAGTTCTGAAATGATTTATCTTTGTCTCGTTTTTTTACATCACAGAAACCTGACATTTAAACAGGGGTGTGTAGACTTTTTTATATCCACTGTACCATGCTTTTTCTCTTTTTTGATAGAACATTTAACTTTATTATCAGCCCCCCAAACAGAAGTGTTTTCAGGAAGTTAAATTATATAAATTTATATCGCTTTGAATTAGTGGTGATAAGTCCATTTTTATATTGGAGAATCTACTGTTATTCATCTTTACTAAGACAACACTCAACTGCTGTGGCCTCACTGTGAAATGTTTTGACGACTTCTGCATGTGGTTAAATGAATATATTTTTTCCAATAAAAATATCACTTAACACAGGGAAACCACGGTGAGATCTAATTGCAACATAAAAGCAAACACTAGAAACTCATGGGAAAACAGAAACTTTCTTTTACTGAAATGTTGCATACTGCAGAACTCAGCAGGTTTCTTAATACACATGTTAGCAATGTAAAAACTTTAAACGAAGTTCATAACGAAAGAAAATATTTCTTGCCTCTTATATAAATGCACCCTGGTCCTAGCCTCATTTAATATCAAATAAAAAGGTTAGTCTGATTGACTGATTGTTTACACACATCTGTTGAAGGGAAACAAGCTGTGCCAAAAATAATCTCTGTTTGTCATTGTAGAAGGCAAAGCCATGATAATTGGTAGCTTAAGTTCTGTTCAATACATACTGAAGACGTATAAAATATCTACAGATGTGCCATGTGATCTTGATTGTGCCATTTTACCCCTAACCATGCCATGTTCATTATATACATTTGTAAAATAGGTAAAGTTGGCAGTCTGACTCCAATCCAATTGGGTTGATTCATTAAAGGCACACAGGCTGTTCACTTTGCAAGGAAATGTTCCCTTGGCTTAGTGAATGAGGTGAAGCTTTGCTGACATCCATTATCAAATCATGACCAATCAAAAACAGGATTTTTCTTTTCTTCTCCTTGCCCTTGATTGGTTATTCTTCGCAAAGTGAATTTCACCCCATTCGTTAACTCAACCCCTTCACGCTGGTGCTTTAAGGGGTTTCTGATGCTGGGAGGTGGGGTTTAGGGTAATGTCACCGCTGTGATTGGCTGCCACTGCAGTCACATGATCGGAAAAGTCCCGATCGCAAGGAGAAATCAGGACCTTTCCTTGGAACACAGACACATGTGCTGGGAGCGCGCAGGGCGTGTGCTCTCAGCACATGTTTGTTTACAAATGTTACGCAAATATACGGCCACTCGGCGTTAAGGCCCAGCAGCCAAGAGGCCGCATATTTGCATACTGTCAGCGTGAAGAGGTTAAAATGTTACTAAACCCACAACAGATAAATCAGCCAGTATATGGAGTAAAGCATGCATGTTATACTCACTGTGGGACCTAAGGGGTTAATGTTCTGCATTGTGTAAAAAGGATGTTTGATCCTGTCTTCTCTGATCCTCCCCTTCTTCTTCTATCCCCAATCCATCTGCTGATAGAACAGAGCCTTGGGGGCAAGCTGCACATGCCTAATTTGGTGTGTATTGCTAGAGAGTTTTTTTTTATTTTTCTTGGGAGAGTGCATGTGATCAGCACAGGGCCAATCAGCAGTGTCCAGACAGGGGAGAATGAAAACTCTTCCTACAAGCTGTAACGGTGCTCTGCTAGACACTGATAGAAGTCACAAGACTGCTCTAACTGCTGATGGGAAAAGGTATTTAGCAGTTTATATTTTCTAAAATAATTGCATTTCCATGTACTGTATACTGTGGGAGACCAGATATAGTGAATATAGGGTCCTGGGTTTAGTAACACTTTAAGGGAAAATCCCCTTGCAAAGTAAACAGCCTTTTTAATCTCAAATTGTCCATGACATTTTCAGCAGACCTCAGGTCATCCAATGCTACAATTACCACACAATTAATGATAGTGTTGTTACTAGCTTTTTGTGGCTGGTGGAAAATGTATCAACCAGTCTTTGATGCCCTGTGGAAAGTGCTCTCTCAGTCCCTTGTTCATGTAAAGTGCTTTGTTCTAATGTGCCCAGGTTGGAGTGTGCTGCAACCTGCTGG